GTTAGATAGATAGAGATAAATATTGATTTGGGTGAAGAGAAGGGCAATGTACCAAATGTGAGTGACCAATATGGCAGCATTGAGGATGAGAAAGACAGAGAGAGTTACATGGGCAGTACAAACAACAAATATGAACCCCTTTGTAAATACAATACTGAGTTGTTAATGAAAGCAAATATGGGTATAGGGACGGATAGATGGGTGAACAAGCTAAACAATTATGTATGTCTAAATGGAGAGTGTATCCAAGATCATATACAGGGTTGGCAGAAAATGGGCCTCTCGAAGAGTATGAAGGAATGGACACTGGGAGGAGGTAACTATGGGGAGGAAGTGGGAGGGGAGCTGCTGCATTGTAAATTTTGGTCAATGACATGAGACAAAGTATATGTGAACTGCTGTATGAAAAGTGAATTTACTCTGTAAATCTTCACCCAAATCCTAATAAAAAAAAAAAAAAAAGAACGAACTGTCAGGGCCAGAAGGAGGCCAGAAGCCAATAGCTATAGGACCCCGGCTCTAAAGGTGACTGTGGCAGGTGGAAGTGGTGGCAATGTCTCCTTTTCTTCTTTCTCAGCTGTTGCTTTCAAAGCTTTGTCAAGAACTGCATGTTTCATAAGGCATTGAGGGAAAATGAAGGAAGTGACCTTGTTTTCTTCCATGTTGTCTATGTTAGAAGCACAAAGCTTGACACCTAAAAGGTGTATTATAGTTTAGCGCAGTGGTAAGAACCCAGGCTTTGCCCTTAGATGATTTGAATTCAGACTCCTCAGCTCAACTGGCTGTATGATCTTAGGCAAGTCAGTCACTTAACAACCTGTTACCGCATCTATAAAATGGGAATGAGGATACTTGTCCTTAAAGACGGTTGTGGGGGGGGGAAAAAAAAAACTAGTTAATATAAAGTGCCCTGACATAACATGGGTGTCTTGTTGACCCTTGGCTGAAATAAAGGAATGACCGCACACTACTCAGCAATCCCCTACTGAGGCTGCCCTAACTCAGAGTCTTTGGCCCACCCTGGTCACCATGCTCCCAAGGCCAAACCCCCTACCACAGGATGAAGCTTCTTCTCCCCTCAGCTGACTCTGCTGACTGCTGCCTCCATTTCTGCTCAGAGCTTCACTGCCTCCAGACTCTCCTTAGCCATCTCTGCATTCTACCTCTCCTTAAGTCCCCAGGACCAAGCCATCACCCCGGTCCTGATGATTCTACCCATTAGCTCTATGGGGACAGGGGACTGTTGTCTTTTTTTTTTTTTTTTAAATGTTTGGGTGCTACTTTTACTTTGTTTTTATGAATTAATCTGTTCATGCCCCCCTGGCCTTTTTTTTCTTTCTTTTTTTTCCAACTTCTTCTTGTGATTTGGGTGAAAATTTACAGAGTAAATTGGTTTTCCATTCAACGATTCAAATACATTTTGTTTGGTGACACTGATTACAATCTTCACAAGGTAACAGCACTCTTCCTACTTTCTCCCTGTATTTACTGTTTCCATTTTTCCTTCTTTCCTATCTCTTCCTGCCTTCTGAGCTTTATCTCTGAGCAAATGCGGCCTTTTTGACGTCACATGGATTGTTCTCATGAGTGCATACCTTCCTAGTGTTACTATTCACCTTATAGGCCTGACTATTATTTGGCTGAAAGTTAAGCCATAGGGGTGAGTTCACTTCTAGGCTTGAAGGGGTCTAAGGGCCATAGTATCCAGGATGTATCTGTCTTCTTTACCAATATACTTCTACACCCATCAACCCAACTCTCCAGCAAGCCTGCCTCCTTGCTATCTCAGTACCCCCTCTCATACTTCTGCTCACCAGGAGTCCCTGCCAGGTAGGCCCAACAGGCACCCCCGCCCCTTACCACACATACCTTAGAAAGAGACTCAGGAGGGTCAAATTTCTAGGGCCTAGTCTTCGGTGATTTACACACTCCACTACTTCCACCAGCCCATGGCACAGTAGGAAAACCAAACAGATTCTGGAGATAGCTAAGCTGTGGCATCTGCAGAACCCTTGCCCATCATCACCCCATTTGCCCCCCTTCTCCCCCATCAATATACATACCAGTCCCCACTCCAGGCTGGCAGCTCCTCACACAGTTAATTAGCACTATGTCACTGAGGACCAGCCTGAGTGGCCAGTGACAGGCACTGACCTCTGACCCTAGGGCTGGGAAACAGTCCACATCAAACTCTAACAGCGCGACCCTTTTAGCACGCACAGTAACTCGGGGCACCGCCAGCTGAAGCTCATTAAAGCTGTCTCTTTGGTGCGAGGGCCATTAACCTCACTGCTCAAAACCCACGCCTCCCCTCCCTGCCTCTCCGAGCCCAATTAATGCCCTACATCTTCCCTCCCTTCCAAGCACCCTCACCCACACCTCAGAGCCAGCTAGGAGCTGGCAGGGCAGCTCCTTTCATTCAAGGACTACAAACATCAAGTGCCAGGAACCCCCAGTGCCCTGAGGAGCCCCTGGTGTTGCCAGGGCCAAGCTGATGAGAAGCTAACAGAGGAGGGAACTCACTGAGCACCCACTGTGTGCCAGCACTGTAGCAGCCCTTCACACAGGGGACCTCACTGAACTTGCCCTTCAATGAAACAGCCCTGAGAGATAGATAGCATTGTCTCTTGCCTAAGGTTACTACTGGGTGGTAGAGCCAGAACTTCCTATGGCTCCAAAGCCCTTACTCCACTGTTACTCATAGCCTTGGGCTGTGCCATGAGGCCACTCAGATGGAGAAACTTTCTTCTATGAAAGAGGAGACACCCCAATATGGGTATATAGACAAGAAGAGCATCAGAGAATTCCAAGAGGCAGCAAACAATAGGGAACTCCTTTCCCTCCCAAACACACCCTCAGATGGGTACACCTAGCTCAGGGCTGTGCAGGGTTCATTAACCCAGTCCCGCCAGCCCCTCCCACCAGCCAGACTCAATTATTAGAAGCAACTCCTCTGGAGATCAATGAAAGTCTTCTCACTGGTTCTTTGTCCCTGGTCCCTCACTTTCTCATAACTCTTGCAAAGATTCATTTACTTACTTATTCATCCATCCATAAATATTTATTGAGCACCTATTAAGAATAGTTCTGTGCAACACAAATTGCCTCACTGATACTGAATCAGAGCTCTGACCATGTCCTTCTCTCATTCACAAACCTCCTATGTGTCCTCAAAACTCAGGAAAAATCCACTCCCTTTAACCTGGGAGTCAAGGCCTTGCTTATTTCTCTTTTTATTTTCTAGACATTCCCTAACCAAAATTTCCCACTCCTGTCACAGGAAACTACCTGTAGATGTCTATATACTTGTCTGCTGAACATGCTGGGCTTTCTCTACATAGATCCCTCTACCTAGACAACCCTTCTCCTAATGTCCTACCTTGCAAACCCTTATTCATCCTTCAAGGATCCTCTGATTCAAGTGTCCTTATCTCAAGAAACTTTCCACTGACCTCCCAGCAGATCGCCTTGCTAGGTTTGTCGTCTTCTCTAGGTTGTATGGAATAGCTCTTATGCGAGTGAACAGCAGTTGCTGTGGGAAGCCCCAACTCACAGCCCTGTTGAATGCTGCTTTTTCCCACTATGGGCCTCAGGAGAGCCTTGGAATGTCCCAGCAAGAATGATATGGGGCAACCTCAGATGTCAGTGAGACGTAAATGAAGCACCAGCTATGTGGGCAACTGAGGACAGGAGAAACTACCCTTGGGGGTAAGCCCAGGTACTTCTATTTCAGCCCTCAGAACCTTGGGGCAACCGCCTATTTCAGTCTCTGTCTGCCTCCAGCATGTGAGCTCCCTGAGGATGGAGCTGTCTACTCAGAATGCCAAGCAACTGCTAGATACCAGTGCATGTCTGTGGAATGCATGAAGGGTCTAGTCTGCAACGGGTGACTAGTTTAAGCTCTGGTCCTTCTAGTGTTATCTCCCCAGCCCCCCATCAAGTTCATACCTCTTCAAAGTATACAGGTTATGATAATGTCCTACTACCACCCAGGAATACAATGGCTCCTCCCAACTTGCAACAAAGTCTATCTAATGCCTATCAAGTACCTGGCTTGAAAGCATATGCATGCACACAAATAAGATACACAGAAATGAACAGATATACTTTCTGACAGATGCACACAGGCTGATGGTTGCTTACATATACAAACAACACACCCTCAGAAAGATACATACGCGTAAGTTGTTATGCCCCCACACACATCCCCTCAAACAGATATATAAATACATGGGCACATATATACTCTTAGTCACACATATACATATAGCTGAAGGGGTCACACACACAGACACACAAAGCTGAAGGGGTCACACACACAGACACACAGATACTCACAGACACATGTCAATATTGACATATCAAAAACTAGCAGAGCCTCCCCAACCAATTACCTGGAATCACAGCCACTTCAGCCCTCTCCTAAGCAGGAACCTCCCTGAGGGTGCACCCCCTATCCTGTACCCCAAGTGGCCCCTCCCAACCCAGGCACCGCTCAATGGAGGCTGCTGCTCCTGCGGGGGAGTCAATACCCTGTGGATGGAGCCATCGGTCAGAAGGACCCTGACTAATTAAAAGCTGGTGAGGTTTAAATAATTCATCTCCTTAACTCCCATTGATCGCCAGTTTAGTGGCCACAGACTTGAAACAATATTAAACAGCCTCCTCCAGCTCCGTGGGGGTAGGTAAGCTGACATGTGCCCACCACTCTGAGGACATCACCAGGGATACAGCCAGGAAGTGGGGGCACAATGGCCTGAATCCAAGGCCACCTGTGATCCACCCACAGCCCAGACCCCAGCCTTCTACTAAATGTTGTTTTGAGAGGTTCTTTCCAGTGTTACCTTCTTGTTCTCCCCTGCTTCCAACCCCCCAGCTATGAAGAAAGCCCAGTTAGAGCACTGAATGAGCCACTGAACCCCTCTGTGTACCAGGGGATGACTGGGGCATGTGGGCAGGGGACTGATCGAGCTGCCAGGGGGATATGCAGAGGGACTGACCAATGCCGCTGTGGGGTCGACCTATGTGTTGCAGGCTGAGGCCCTTGTTCATGTCTAGAAGTCCGTTCTTGGGCCAGCAGCCCATGGCGAAGCTGTAAGCCTGGAAGACAGGAGATAAGAGGGGTTAAAAGAGGTCCTAACTCCCTAATCATCCCCACTCATCAGAGCCCCCTACCCCAAATCTTCCCACGAAGGGCTTACTCTCATTATGCCATCTCATGAGAGTCCCCTCACTGTGTCCCCTTTTCACCAAGCCCCCACCAGAAAATCCCTTCCTTCTCCAGAGCCCTCTTTCACCTGGGCTTGTACCCATCACAGTCCCTTAGCCGTCTACAAGTATCCCTTTATAAAGGCTCCTCTCTAGAGTACGCCCATTTGCTAAGATTCTCCTCATTAGAACTGCTTCTCTCACCAGGACACCCTCTTCACCACATACCTCTCCTTACCTTTACACCCCTCCAGAGCCCCCCTAACACTGCTGACCCCCTTCCCCACAGTATTACTGGTCACAGAGACTAGTCTCAGGAAGGACCTTGGAGACTAACATATTTGAACTTCCCTCCACAGACAGAAAAACTAAAGCCTAGAAGCAATGACCTGCCCACAGTCATGCTTTTGACCCTGAGGCAGGCCTGTCTGTAGGAGGCTCTGAGTGCCATGTGGGGGTTCAACTGAGGAGGGAGTAAGGTGACCTGCCTGACTCAAGCAGCTGTGAGGGGAGCATATGAAGTGCGTGTATGTGTCTCTGTGTGTGCACGCACGCCTGAGCATGTGGTGGTAGGGGAGCAGATGCTCCTGCTGAAGGTCAAGTGCTCACTTATGCATATTCAAAGCGGCCACCCATCGATCTGTGCTTAATTGTTTTCCTGGGGTTGGGGAAGGAAGTGCTGGGGGCATCGATCTGTTCAGGCCCCCAGCACTCCATTGCCCCCCTCCAAACCCTACCCACACCACCTGGCTGCCAGCAACCTCCATGGGGGAGTGGGGACACATGGCAGGAGAGAGACAGCACCTTTCCTCGCAGTCCCATGAGCTGGGTATGACCAATTTGATGTCACAGATGAGGAAACAGAGGCCCAGAAAGAAGAGACTTACATGGATTAGAATTAAGTGGCCCTAGGGTACTGGAGCTCTGGTAGCATAGTGCCTAAGGCACTTGACTGCTCACCAGAAGGCTGGCGGTTCAAACCCACCAGCCACTCCTCGGAAGGAAGGTTGGGCAATCCTACTTCCATAGTGATACTGCCTCGGAAACCCAAGGAGGGGTCGCTATGAGTTGGGGCCGACTCGACGGCAAACAACAACAACAACAACAACAACAACAACAGGGTACTGGATTCCTGCTCAGGTTGCTAACAAAGTCATGTGCTTTACTTGTGGGTCTGTGTAGCTATCTGACCCTTCGAACATTACCCATCCCCTCACCTCAGAAGTGTCCAAACACCAGGCTGTCCTTCCACTCTGTGGCAGGAAGGTGACAACTTGTGGGACAGTGGTTAGTGGGAATGAAGCTTGGATGAGTCCTCAAAAGTTGGACAGCAGGTCCACTAATGGAGCTAAAGTGACAGCCAGCCATGGCCAGATAGGCACTGTAGTGCCCTCACCCAGCACTGGGCCCAGGAGGGCCTCATCCCACTATGGACTCCCTTACAGGGCAGAGGGCCCAGCACAGGGTCAGAAATCAAAGATGGGAGGCTGGGCAAAAAGAGGCTGTGCCTTGGCCAAGGAGCTTTGTTCACAGCTTCAGGGACCAACCTTCTAGTCCCATAGGCCTTTGCACTTAAGGTGGACTTAAGCCTTAGCATCCTCCAAGCCTTTTTCCTTGACCACAGAGATATCAGCCACAGTCCAACTTCCCAGGCAAGCCTTCTTCACTCCTTCCCAGACCACAGCTGTACCCACAAATTGGGCTCAAGAACAGGGGAGAGGATGCTGGCCTAGAGCCAGGAGAAGGCAGGCAGCAAGAGAAAGCAGCCAGTGGGCGGTGCACAGCTGGAGGAGCTGCTGAGCGTGGTCAGGACCGAGGCTGGAGCTCAGTGGGCCAGAGAGCAGTGGCGGTCCAGCTTTCAAGTACTTTAAAATCACTTACAAAGGCCGGATTAAATGATCAGAAATTCCATTTAATAGGACAAATAAAGAAATAACAATCTACTCTATCAGCCCAGGGAAGGCAAGCTAGATAGGTTTTTTTTCCCCTCTAAAAAGGAAAAAGGGAAGGAAGGGGGAAAAAAGAAGGATAATGTGTGTTTACTCAAGCAAAGAAAAAAATATTTAAGTGATGTCGGGGAGAAGATTGCAGTAACTAGTGAAGAATAACATCGTCTACTTTGCTGTCAAATCACACCCGAATTTCAGTAATAGATTCTCGGCTGACACTCAATTCAATTCGAAGGTGATCCTGCTTTATCCCAGCCCATCAAATATTAAACACTTGCATTAGCAGGTGCTGCCGCTTCCCGGCTTAAGCGGCGGGCGGGTGGCAGGGCTGCCGAGGCCCCTCCGCTCTGCTTGCGGCTCGGGGACAGGGCAGCTCAACGTTATCTGCACGTCATCCCGAGTCTTATCACAGCTAAGCGGGAAGACCACTTCAGATAACATTAGACGCTTGCCCCGACGCGTCACCATGATTAGATTATTATTATAATTATGACTCCCCAAGATCTTCCATAGACTGGGACGTATGGACAGGGGATGGAGGGCAATAGAGCCCAGGAAGGCCAGGCTGGGCCAGACTGGACCAGGCTAAGCTGGAATCCATGGGAGAAAAACAGAGGTCCCAGGCAAGGCAGCAGCCCCATCCCGCCTGATGGATGCCTTTCAGGAAGGGCAGTCTAGCTTGTCAGAGCGAGGGCGAGATGAATTGGCATCTCCACCGCGGCCACGGGTGTCATGCTGCACAGTTTCACATTCCCAGATAAGGCGTGATAACCAATTGCTGCCGTGACATGGCCTCATCCAGCACTTCCTCAGGGGGGCACGGGGTGGGGGAGAAGGGGGCGGTGCATGCACACAGGTCTGCCAAGCTCCTAATAAGAGGGATTTAATTTTTACAAATGCTGCTTCCAGCGGGGCCTTCACATACCAGCCAAAGTCCAAAATGATATTAAAAGCGGTTAATTAAAACTGCTCTCCTTCAGCTTGGGCTCTCCCTCTGTTATTCCTGCTGAGAACTCTGGCATGGCTCCCCTAGGTATCGCCAAAGAGCTAAACCTTCAGACATGAACATCAGGCTCAGTACCAGGCACAGCATGTCAAGCTCCCCCCAACTCGTGCCATCTCAGGTACCCCATAGGCACAGTCAGCAGACATTCAATAACTACCCAGCAAGCACAACAATCTATGCTCCAACCAACGTATGGTCTAGGTCCTTGCACCTGTTGCCCTCTGCATTTGTACCTGTACTCACCACACCCAGCACCCATTTCTAAAGCCTACCTGCCCACAGACAGATCTATAAACCCCACCACATACAGGTACCTACCCACATACACACACCACTCTCACTCCAGATGTCTCCCTTAAGAGATTACATGTCTATGGGTCTTAGTGAAGCCCTTCCCAGGAGTCCAGCTCAGGAAAAGGTGATGTGGGCTATAGCTCAGAGATGCTGGCTGAGAAGTCAATGCTGGTACCCAGGAAACCATGAGAGCAGGAGGATCAGCAAGGCTGAGCCTTGTAGGCTATCCTGCCCCCGGGGGACAATGAAGACAGGCAGGCCCAAGTGGGGTTGGAGGAGGCTAGTAGTACCGGAGGGCTGGGAAGGTTGACAGATGAATGGGAAGACAACACTCCAGGCAAAAGATACAGCAAGGACAAAATAGAATGGCGAGAGCAAGCTTGGTTACAGCACAGGCAAGGGTTTGGCGGCCAACATAGGTAGAAGGAACATATCTTGAAGGAACATATCTTCCCATCTCTGTGTAGCAACAGCAACAGTGGCATCAGGCCTGCCCTAGTGACCACTTTTTTTATTCTTGCCTGCTCCTTCTCCCTGCTTCCTCCTTCTCTCTCCTTCCAGCCTATTGGGAGATGCAGGTAAGGGCCCAGAAGCTTTATGACCTTGATCATGATGGCACAGAAATCTGTTTTAAGAGCTCTTACCAAAAGCTTGTGCCTGAGCCCCTTTCCCAAGACTGGTTCCAAATTCTGTGAGTGCCACTTCTCCAGCTGTACTTTCCCAGTCATCAGGGCCCACCAGCTTAGCTATGTAGAGTTGGATCCTGGCCCCTGGGCTTCCTGGCTGAGGAGGCAGCCAGAAGAATGACCGAGGAGCACCTGAATCCTATTTAGGGCAGGTACTACTGCAAGGCCATAGAGGCAAGTGAGGTCAGGAGTGAAAGATGCTGGGTCTGCCACCCACCCCAGCCCACCCCGTGCTAGGCAGGCACGCACACTTCCCTTCCCCTGGGCTGCTGTAATTTCCATGCACAGGGAAGCAGGTGCCGAGCTGCTCCCGGCTGGCTCTCCCCTCTTGTGGCTCTGCCCGCCTTGGCTGCTGCCCCATTAGCTTAGTGGCCAGCCATCTGCGACGGGCCTGCCGTGCAGCCCTGCTGTAGGCGCGGCGGGTGGCCCCCTGTGTAACAGGGAGCTTTGCCATTAGCGCCTTTAATATTCTGACACCTCAGCACAGCCTGCTATTACATGCAAACGCTGATCGCCCTGTGAAATTACATTGCTGGGCTCGCGAAATGGAATCGTGTATAATCAGCCTCCTCCATGCACTGTCAGTCCCATCACAAACACGGCGCCTGGCGGCTTACGAGGGCTTAGCAGCTGCGACAAGTGTATTGGGTTTAATAGATGAAGTAGCCCTCATCGGCAGCAACATCAGATCCTTCAAAGAGGAAAGAAGAGGCATCAACAGCTGCTATGGTGCCTCTGCCCACCCATATACTACCTACCAGGGTGCTGAGAGTAGGCTGGACAGAGTAGGCAGGGCAGTGGCTGGGCTAAAGGGCTAGAACTCAGCTCAGACTGCAGATAGAAACACAAACTGCTCTGTGACTTCCAGAAAACCCAGAGCTTCCAAGCCGGCCCCAGTACATTTAGCCTCCCCATAAGGTGGGAAAGAGCAGGCCTTTAACTATACCTCTGGGTGAC